AGGGCGCGCAGGTAGGGGGGGGATAATCCATTGAACGTCCTTCCCCGAACTTCGTATTTGGGCGCATTTTCTGCCTGGGAAGGCCCAAGCCGCAGAGCCTTGGTCGTGAAAGTGAATGCATCTGGGGCTCTGTGCGTCGGAGGGGCCCAATTATTCTTAGTATTATTATTAGTCTTATTCGTAATATTCGTATTACTCGTATCATTAGTATGATTATCATTATCACCTCCATTCTTATCATTTTCTCAAATGTTTATTTTTACTTTTATTTTAAGTATCTGTATTATGATTATTATTGGGATGGTGATGATGATGATGGTGATGATGGTGGTGGCGATGATGATGATGATGCTGATGCTGCTGCTGATGATGATTGTTCTTCTTCTCCTTCTTTTTATTATTATTATTGTTATTACTAATATTATTGTTTGGATTATTATTATTACTATTATTATTATTATTATCATTCTTAGTATTACCATTATGATTCTTATTCTTATTATTATCATCACCATTCTTATTCCATTATTATCTATTAGCATAATTATCAATGCTTGTATTCCCAACCCTCCTGCGTTGGGTACTCGTTTTGAATAGAGCACTGCGTGCTCCGCCTCCTCCCGCCTCCCTCCTCACATCATTCCTACCTGCCTCTTACCTCGCTCCTTCCTGCCTGCCAGCTTGCCACCTGCTTGGTCATCCCTGCAGGGCTGCGATTTGCGAAACTATCGCCGCTTTCGAGGGCTGCTGGGGGGTCAGCGGAGTGACGTGCTGCGCAGACTCAGATTATACATCGCCATCCTTGTGGGGTTGCGACCTGCGAAACTGTTGCCACTTTCGAGGGCTGCTGGGGGGTCCAGCAGAGTGACGTGCTACGCAGACTCATAGTGGACGTCACCATCCTGATGGGGCTGCGATCAGCGAAACTGACACCACTTTCGAGGGCTACTGGGGGGTCAGCGGAGCGACGTGCTACGCAGACTCAGGTTACATGTCTAAATCTCATAATGAGGACGCGTGGATGTCCTTATGACACCCTTGCGTCCTAGCCTCTGCGGCTCGTCCTTCGCGGTTTTCATCGGCCAGCGCTTCAGGGTGTTGGCAGTCCGCCGCCCAAATTATATCAACTTCGGCGTCCAAGGCCCTTGCGTCCGTAACTGCTGCCCGTCCTTATTCTATTTCTCGACTGTAAACCTCACCATCCTCGTGGGGCTGCGATGTGTGAAACTGTTGCCACTTTCGAGGGCTGCTGGGGGGTCCAGCGGAGCGACGTGCTACGCAGACTTAGACTGGACGCCACCATCCTGATGGGGCTGCGATCAGCGAAACTGACACCACTTTCGGGGGCTCCTTGGGGGTCCAGCGGAGTGACGTGCTACGCAGACTTAGATCAGACCTCGCGATCCCTGTGGGGTTACGATCAGCGACAGCGTCGCCACTTTCGAGCGCTGCTGGGGGGTCCAGTGGAGTGACGTGCTACGCAGACCCAGATTCGACCTCGCCATCCTTGTGGGGTTGCGATCTGCGAGACTGTCCCCGCTTTCGAGGGCCTCTACGGCAACATCTGGCACGTGTTTGTGCTGCATTCGTTTAGAAAAAGAGGCTCTCATGTCTTAAGGAACGTCAGCAGGTTCTGAGACTTCGGCTGGGTTCGCGCCAATTCGCACTACTGTCAGTGGCAATCTGTTGTGCAGAGCTTCTGATGCTTCTGTGCGTAGCTCGCGCCAATTGGCAGTATTTTCCGTGGCTGTCCGTTGTCCAGGATTTCTGAGGCTTTCGTGCAAGGCTCGCGCCAATTAGCACCACTCTCAGAGGCTGTCTGTTTTGCAGGGTTTCTGAGACTGCTGTGCATGGCTGGTGCCAACTTGCTTCCCTCTCAGTTGCTGTGCGGCAGGATCTGTTGTCATCCAAGCCACCGCTTTGAGGCTGCTGCATGGGTCCTATCCCCCAGCACGTCTATACTGCGGTCCACGAGAGCCGCCGCAGGATACTCTCGCCCAGCCGTGAGGCGTTCATCCTCGGAGTCTTGCCCCCCCCCCCAAAAAAGACGGCCCAAGAGGTCCCCAGGACAGCCCGGGACGGCCCCGGGAGGGCCCCCAGAGGAGGAGTTCGAACCCGCGTTTCAAGGTTCCCACACCAAGGGACCCCGAAGACCGCCAGCAGGCGCCAGCAGGCTCCCAAGGACCTCTCCAGAGGACCCCAGAGACCCGAGAGAAGTCCCAACGAGGCCCCGAAAAGCGCCCCAAGGGGTTTCAAAGCTGTCTCCAAGAGGCTGCCCAGAGGCTCTCCCAGAGACCCGAAGAGGCCTTCCAGAGGTCTCGGGCCTACAGCCCAGGCACGGTGGCAGGATGGGCAGAAGGCCACTAGGGAGGGGCACGCGTGGATGAGGGGCACGGTGGCCCCTCCTCTCTGTCCCCCATCATGTTTTGTCCTCTCCGCAGCATTTCCCGGGCATCCAAACGCGTCTCCTCTTCGACGTCGTCCTCCAAGACGCTCCGACACGGCTCCAAGAGAACCCACTCAAGGACCAAGAGCGGCAAAACATCACCGATGCTTTTTGGACAACGATTACGTTTATCATACTTACGCAGGCCGAAAGATTTTCCCCTTGAGCCCCACATGTCGGAAGCGACGTGCCGTTCAGGTGAGCGGATACATGTAGCGCTCTCTTCGGCTTGGGGCGTGCCATAAGCCATGGGAGGAGCTGCGGAAGTTGGCCTGGCCCGTTGTGTCGTTCGAGCAACCTTATGCTGCGGGAGGATTTTCGGGAGATGGCCAGGCCCACTTTGGCGCTCGAGCAACCACATGGTATGGGAGGAGTTGAGGGAGGTGGCCGGGCCCGCTGTGTTGCTCGAGCTTCCGATCTTGACACTTTGCTAAGTGTGTCCTCATGCTCCCCGTCCTTCCCCTTCCCTCCTCCCGCTCCCTCCCTCCTCGCCTCACTCCTCCCTCCTCCGTCCTCCTTCCGCATCCCTCCTCCCTCCTCCCTCTTCCTCCTCCTCCCCTTTATTCCTCTTTCCCCCCTCCTCCCTGATTGTTCCTTTTCTCTCTTCCCTCCTCCCGTCCGTTCTCTCCCCCCCTCCCCCCTCCTAGTGTCTCTTCCCTCCTACTTCCCCTCTCCGTCCTGTGAAGACCCCCCTGTCCCCCGTAGAATCGTAGCTTTGGTCAGCAGATCCACAGTTCCGTGGATAGACGATGCTTCACGTGCGGTGCCCCGCGGATCCCATTTCTCCTTGGTCCGGGATGTAATTGTTATTATATATTTATTCCCAGAGAGTAAATGGATCCATGGTTTTTCACACACGGAAAATCGGACCCGCGCAAAACAGAAATAGGATCCACGACGGTGTCGCACACCCTAAAAAAGGATCCCACCCCGCTCGCACTTGCACGCAAGGGCGGCGGTGGCCGAACACACTCGCCATACATTATGCGTCTGTTTCATTACCCCCGGCGCTCGTCTTTTTGTAGCGTCGGCGAATGCATGGTGTTTGTTGGAGAGACGCAGTTCGAAATCCCGCTAAGGATCCGGCACCCTGCTCGCACTTGCACGCCGGAGCGGCGGTGGCAGAACACACTCACCATACATCATGCGTCTGTTTCTTTACCCCCGGCGCTCGCCTTTTTGTAGCGATCGGCGAGTGCATGGTGTTAGTGGGAAAGACGTAGTTCGCTGTCTATACATACACATACACACATTCCCGGATTTTGAATGGATCCATTGTTTTTCACACACGGGAAATAGAATCCGCGCAAAACATAATCAGGATCCACGACAGTGTCGCAAATCCGAAAGGGGATCCAATTGGATCCATCGTTGCTGTCATATTTCAGTAAAAGGAAAAGCTTTCGGCCTGGTGATGTAGACACACCACCGCCACGTCGATTCCTCCTCCCTTCTCTGCTCTGCTCTCCTCTTCCTCTCGTCTTTCCTGGGAGAGGGAAGGGGTGAAGGAGGTGGTGGTGGTGGTGGTGGTGGTGGTGGTGGTGGTGGTGGTGTATATTTTTGGGTCCCGTACCTTCCGGGCGATCCGCCCGCAGCGCCCTCCCGGGCGCTCTGGCGGTCCGCCCGCTCCCTCCAGGCCTGCCGAGGACCCCTCGCCAGCGGCGACCCGCCGCGTCGCCGTGCCCCCTGCGGTCTTCCCGCTCCCTCGCGAGCTCCGCCGGATGCTGGCCGCGCTTGGGCCGCGCGTCGGCCCCGAGGGGGCGCCCCAACGGGCGGAATGTAGCCGCCCGCTCGCCCGCCCCGCCCCCGTCGGTGATCCGCCCGCCCGCGCGCCCTCGCCCGCACCTGTACGCGTCCCCCCTCGCCCTCGCCCGTTCGCTCAACGAGCGAGCTGCCGCTCGCCCCCGCCCTGGCGCCCCGCCCCGCCGGCGACCGCCAGGAGCTCTCGCGGTCCGCCCGTTCCTTCGAGGGTGCCGCCACGCTCCAGCGGGCCGCCGACGCCCGGGTGGGCAGCCTGGAGGCGCTCACCGAGGATCTGGCCGCAGAGCTGGGGGCATTGAGGACTGTGTTCCGCGCCGTCGCCGTCGCCGCCGCCGTGGGCATCGGCGTCGCCCTCGCTCCGTGTCGCTCGGCGTCGCTTGGCGTCGCCGATGTCGCCGCCGTCGTCGGCGGCATCGGCGTCGGCGTTGCCGTTGCTGTCGTCGTCGTCCTCGTCGCCGCCGTCGTCGCCGCCGTCGTTGCCGCCGTCGTCACCATCCGAGGAGCTTGCAGCTTTCGAGTGCCATGAGAGTCCTTCGAGGCCCGAACCCCCCCTGGAGATTCTCCCGCGCTTTCTCTGGCCAGGATGAGGGTCCTGGTTCGGCGCAGCAATCACGCTCGGGAACCAATGGGCACTCCCGGAAACGCAGATTTCCCGTGAGCTTCCCTTAGCCTCCCTGGCTGAAGCTTCTTGCTCTGGGAGTCGTGACCAGGGGGGGGGTCCCCACCCGCCTCCGAGGTATGAAGCGCCAGGCCCGCGTGTTGGCGGCGTGCGCTGCTTGCGGCTCCCTTTGTCAGGGGCGAGTCGGACGCCGGCTTTCTGCAGAGTCAACACGGAGGGGATGGGGACGACAGCGCTGTCGGAGATTGTCAGAGCCTCTATGAGGGCCTCGGTAGTTCTCGCAGGCTTTTCTTCCTCCCAGACCTCCTGAGTCAGGTTCTCGTTTTTGAATAGAGAACTGCGGTCGCTTTGGGGAGGGTTCTGGGCCCCGCTTTGCCTCGCGCCGCGCTCCCCACGCGGTGGCCGAGGGGGTGCCAGGGTCCCCGACCTCAGAGAGGCGGGAGGCTTGGGGCGGCATCCAGATGTGGTGTCGTAAATTGAGTGTGAATTGGCGGCGAGTGAGTGGGTCCTGTAAGCAGGCGGCGGATTGTGTAGGTTTGCTTCTGTGGATCGCTGGGACCCCCGATGGAGGGCGCAGTGACTTGCGGCTGCAGCTGCTTCTCTGCTGATCCCCCCCTGCTTCTTGGCATTGTCTTGCGGAGGCCGCCTCGCATGTCGCTGAATTTGTTTGGCACGTCTGGAGTGCCCTGAGAGCTTGTGCCGCGTAATTAATTATGTAGTGTTGCTCTCAGCTTGTTTTTGTTTTTTGCATGTGCGTGCGCGTGAGGATAACCCCCCCTCTTCCTGCCTTCTCCTGGCTGCGAATTGCGCAGCTGTCGCCCCTTTTGTGGGTTCCCGGGAGGCACGGCGGAGTAGCGGAGTGCCCGAGACCTCGCAGCTCCCTGGGGGGGCCGACGAGGGGCGACGGCCAAAGAAGACTTCGCCGAAGGAGATGGCGAAGCCCAAGGCTGAGGACGCCGTGTCGGCGCCCCCCTGGCCTGGCGCTCCGCCAGGCCTTTCCTCGCCCGCGACGTCGCCAGCTGCTCCCGCGGCGCTGCGCGGGCGGTCCTCCGAGGGGGTCTCCTCCGAGGGCCACCCTTCTATGTTTCCTCTTCCTGAGGGCGGCCGCCTGTTTCTTGCTGCCCGACGTGGAGAACGTGCCGCGTTGCCTCGATATCTGGCCCAGCGTGCTGCCCGTGCGGACGAGCGTGATCGGCGGACTGTCGAGGTCATCTCGTCCATCAACGCCCTCAGCAACGCCCGGGCTGGGCGGCCGCCGCTGCTGCAGCCGCCGAGCAAGTCGCCGCCCATGAGTCCGCGGTCAAGCGGCTCCGTCGTCGTGTCCGAGCTTTTGGAGCTAAGCCTTCGGACATGGATCGCGCTGGGGCCCTTCAGGAGCTCCTTCGGTGCAAGGATCTCTATAGTGGTGCTGGCGAGGGCTTTCTGCGACCCCGAGCTGCTCCATGTCTTTCGGAGCTCGGCCGTGCCTATCAAGATGCGGGGCGTGGCCCCATCTCGCGTGGTCGAGGCCCCAGGCAATTTTGATTCTGAGGTAGTGCGACCTGCGGCGGACATCTCTCGAGGACATCGTCGAGCCGCGCTGGGACCCGCTGCCAAACCTTTGCACGGAGGCGGATCGCCCGAGGCTCGTGGACTTCCTGGTTAGGATGGTGGCGCGTGGTCTCGCGGATGGTCGTCGGCGTCGGAAGGCCTGTGTCAGCGCGTTCTTCGTGGCAAAGAAGAACGGAGGCATCCGCGTGGTCGTGGGCGCTCGACAGGCGAATCAGCTTCACCGATTGCCCCCGGGGCCATTCTGGCGTCGGGGGAGCTTCGACGTGAAGGTCAACGCCGGCGAGCTCGGGATCACTTCGATCTACGACGAGGGGCTGCGCTCCCGCGCCCCCGTGGGTTGGGGTGAGCTGGTCTGGCCCTGCTTCGCCGCGCTGCCGATGTGCTGGAGTTGTCGACGCGATGGGCGCCGCGGGTCTGGCTGGAGACGCGCGGGTCCTCGACGCGGCCCGCGCTCCACGTGCGCGCGGCGGCAGGGTGGCCATGGCGACGAACGTCGACAATTTCAACATGGTTTCGCTGTCTACGTCCGCCGTCGACGCGAGGCTCGCCGCGCTCACGGCGGAGCTGGGCTGGCGCGGCTTGCGCTGGCTCGAGCCCGAATGGGCCCAGCCCGGCCTCGCCGTCCTGGGTCTCGAGCTCGACATGCGACGGGGCCGGCGGCGGCTGGCTGCCAAGCGGGCGTTGCGGCTCTACTTGGCGCTGCACCGCATCGCGGGGGTGCCCTGGCTGGCGCGTTGGCCGCTGCGGCGGGTCGTGGTCGCGTCGTGCACTGATGCTCCGTGCTGCGGCCAGGTCTCAGCGTCTTCGGTGAGTGCTGCGACTTCATCGGTGGAGTGCTCCTTGATCCAGTCGTTCGTCTTTCCTATGGCGTCGTGGCCGAGCTGCGGGTGGCCGTTGGGTTGGTTTGTCGGGGGAAGTTGACCTTTGCCGAGTGCCCGCCCACGTCGCCTTCGTCGCCGACAGCTCGCTCAAGGGCTATGCGGTCTGCCGGGCCCGCGTGCGACCTGATGAGGTGCTGGAGGCCACTCGCTGGAAGGAGAGGCAGAGGTTCGTCGCTGCCGAGGCGCCTGTCGACCCCGATGCCGAGATCTTCGTGGGGCGGGCCACAGGGCTCTTCGACGGCGGCGGTGACTTTGACATCGACTCTCGGCCGCAGCTTCGCCGCGCAGTTGCGAGGCGTCGCCGCGTGGAGCTCGAGGTCGGCGTCCCCCCAGCGGCCCTCCCGGAGGAGCTGCTGGACCCGCGGCGCTGGCAGCAGGCGCGGCGGGGCGCCTGGCGGCGCCCCGGGAGCATCCACGCGCTGGAGGCGCGCGCGGCCGTGGCGACCAGCTGCGGGCCGCAGCCCGCGAGGCATTCCACGGGAAGGAAGTCCTCGCGCTGTGCGACAGCTTGTCGAGCGCGTGTGCCTTCGAGAAGGGAAGGGCCACGAATTGGGAGCTTCTCGCCCAGTGCCGGAAGGTGGCCGCCGTCTTTCCCGCGTGCGAGCTGCGCCCCAGGCGGCGCCAATTCCCGAGCGAGTTCAACGTTGCCGACCTGGGCAGCCAGGCGGCCGACAGAGGTGAGCTTCTGCCTGGCCGCTACTGCGGGCGTGGGCCGCTGCTGGGCCCCCTCGGCCCAGACGCGCGGCGAGCTGGCGCTCGCGGCGCCTCGGCCGGGGCCGGGGCCCATCCTCTCCACCGACGTGGTCGGCGGTGCCTGCGGCCCCCCTGTCGGGGGCCCCGCGCCAGCAGCCCGCTCGCCTAGCGCCGCGGGCGGCTATCCTTTCGAGAGACGGAGTCAGTCACGCAGCCTCCCTCTTCCCTCATCTACTCTACGACCTCTCATCCTCGCCCCGATGCTCGTGTTCGCGCGGCCGCCGCTGTCGAGTTCGCCACCTGCGACCTCGATGTGGTCGGATCTCGCGCTGCCGCTGCTCGACGTGAACGGATGGATTTCAGGGGCCGCTCGCCGCCGACGACGTCGTCATGCGCCGCTGCTGGTTGGCGCTGCATCGCGGGCCTGGATGGGCCCCTTCGCGCTGGAGACCAACGGCCTCGGATGCCCCAGGGTCGCCCGTCGACGTCAGCGCCGCCAAGTGACGCTACTGGCTGCCGCCCCCCAGGCTTGGATGGGCCCTCTCCACCTCGTGGTGGTCGCGTTCTCCGGCGTCCGTCTCGGGGCTCGGGGGCCCGGCGCGTTGCCTCGAGGGCCTCGCGTCGGCTTGGGGACTTGGCTTCTTGGAGATCTTCTCGGGCAGTGCGCGACTCACGGGGGCGGCCCACGAAGCGGGCCTCAGATGTCTTTGGCCGATCGACGTTCGCCGAGGTCCCCATTGTGACCTCGCTCGCTTGGGTCTTCGGCGTGCTGTGGAGTCTTGGCTCAAGCGGGGCCTCGTCTGGTTGGTGCGCATCGGGCTTCCTTGCGCGCGCTGGATGCCCGCTGGCGGTCTGCGAGAGCCTCCGCCTCCTTGTCGGCTGCGACTCTGCCAGCAGCGAGGCTTTCGCGTCACTTTCGAGGGCCCACGCGACAGCCGAGCGTGGAGCTACCCGCCGCTGGCTCGGGAGCTTCGGCGACTCTGCCGCCCCGAGGTCGTGTTCGACAGCTGTCGCTTCGGGGCGCCCTTCAAGAAGCTCGGCGCCCTCTCTGGGTCGTTCGAGGCGCCGGGCGCGGTGGGCTCGCGCTGTGCATGTCTGCCGGGGCCGCCGCCGCGTGGAGCTGCAGGGCGATGGGTTCGACATCTTGTCCGAGGCTGGGTCTGGCGAACGACGCTGGCGGGCGCCTGCCTCCCGAGCTGGCGCCGTGCCGTGGTGCGGCTGGCCGCCGAGGATGCCCCGCCAGGCGCCCGGGGCCGCTCGGGGCCCGCCGACTGGGCGCGTTGGGATCGCGCGATGGCGAGCGCGGCCGGCGCCCCGGAGCGCGCCGCACCCGCTGGCGCGCTCATCTGCCCGCGGAGGTTCCGCCTCCCTGGCGCGACTCCTGGCCGAGCGCGCTCGACCCGAGGCTGTGCGGCTTCGGGGGGCCGCGCCGCTGACGCAGGAGCTGCCAGCCCGCGGGCCTGGTCGTCGCGACGACCCCCGCCGCCGCGGAGGCTCGGCCCCCGCCGCCGGCAGCGCGCGGCCCCGAAGCCGGGCGCCGGCGGCCGCTGCGCGTGCCGCGCGCGAAGGCTGTGGCGAGGCGCCAGCGGGGGCGGCGTCGGCGGCTCGGGCCGACGCCTCGCTCGCGGGGCAGGGATGGGCGCTGGTCGACTACCTGCTGCTCGCGAGGCCGCGGCCGGCCACGCGTGGCGCCTACGCAGCTGCGGTGGCAGAGCTCGAGGGCTGCGCCTCTTCGATGGGGCTGCGGCTGAACGCGGTCGACAGCGCTGACAGCGCGGTCAACCTGTGCTGCGAGGTTCTCTTCTTCGCGGGCGAGCCCATGTATCTTGCCGAAGACGCCCTCTACTGACTGCGCAAAATCCACGGCTGGTCCGCCGCTCGCCCGCGCCTCCAGAAGTCAGAAGACGCCCTGGGCGGCTGGGTGGCCAAGCGGCCCGCGTCGATGAGGCCGTCGCCGCCCTGGGGCGCCGTGCTGCTCTTAGTGATGCAGCTTGCAGGCGGCTCGCTGCTCCAGACTTTGACGGCGTTGGCCGTCCTTGTTCAATTTGA